AGTCGGTGAAACTCCGACGAAACAGTTTGTCACAGCCCCTCATTTGTTGTCCTCTTCTCCCTCTCTGCCTACGGTTTACCGGGCAGTTCTATTTGACGATATATATATATATATATATATATATATATATATATATATATGTGTCTTTCTTTCCGCCTTTCCGGATATTAAAAATATCGAAAGTCGGAGACAAACGAAAGGCAGGAGAAGAGATAGTGTGCGAACGATCTCCAGATCTATGTGCACCGTGGGGGGGCAAAGATGAAACACAGGCTTTAATCGATGAGAGCTGGGTTGAGATAGTTGAAAAGCAGCAAAAAGTTATAGATAAACCGACAGCTGAAGTAATCGAGCAGAAACAGTTGCTCACCCAGGCGCGAGACGAGATAGCGCGTGTGGAACTTGCACTCGTGGAAATGACAGAAACTGCGAAACATAGATTGTATAGCATATTCTGGTTGTTGCTGCCCGATCCGAAGTCTCTTGTGATGGATCTGAGGGAGGGCATGACCGAACAACTCCAAAAAATAGCTAAGGAGAAGAATGACACGTTTGAGGAGTACCAGAATATGGTTGTTGATCTTAAATGCTATCGGAAAAACCTTCTTCTATCTTAAATGTTATCGGAAAAACCTTGGTCTTAACACGGACACTGCATTCGGTGCCAGAGCACAAAACGCTTGTGAATGGGATGTCACATGTTGTTCCTCTGTTGACAAATGTGTGGTCAGGGAAGGGTGGGCGTCTTACGATAGTGAGGAACTGAACAGCGGTCCGCTGACAGCCTCGTCGAAAAGTCTTGTAGACCTCTTGTCTTTTGCCGAGGACTGCATCTGTCATTGCACGGAGACCATAGATTACTACACTCTTAATCATCGCCTGCAGACCGATGGTGCACATATGGGATGCGATGGCCTTAATGGGAACTTGAGGTCTCTGCTCAACAGTTGCGCTGATATTGTATGTTCTCTTCAGTACACCAGAGGTCGCCTGGCATCGGGACAATTGTCTGTAACGTCGAACCCCGTAGAAACCATGAAAACATACAATGCGCAAGCCGCGAATGCAAGCCGGGAAGATGATCTCACTATGCGGATGTGCGATAGCAACACAGGTCGAGGTGTCTGTGAGTCAGCGACACACTTGTTGCTAGACTGCAAAGATATCAAATCCTTTCAATCTCATGAAATTCGACACAATTTTCCGTGCGTCCTCGCCAGCAAAGCACCGTTGACAAGCAATGAAGAGTCATCAGTACCTATGAGCAGTTCTATGACCACGGAAATATTTGAACAGTTTGTGGCAAGTGCGAATAAACGACAAATGGCAAGGCTCGTGGCAGACTGTATATCCCATCTCATTTCTTTCGTTAAAGAGATGATGTCGAAGGTCGTAGCAAACACAGAGCGTCGTACGGAGGCCATCGATTGTCAGCATTGCAAGAAAGGACTCCACATCAACGACCGGATAATGACACTCTGTAAGAGGTGTAAAGTCATGGCTGAACGTCTCGTTAAAGAAGTTTCATGTACCTCTCTCTCTCTCTCTCTCTCTCTCTCTCTCTCTCTCTCTATCTATCTATCTATCTATCTATCTATCTATCTATCTATCTATCTATATCTTGTGGAAACATTTTCTCAGCGACGTTGACTCACGACCTTATGTGCTGTGTACATATTTAGATGGAATCTGCGATTGCAACAGCCGCCAATGCTGGAGAGACCAACGTCATGGAAACAGAAGTCATTCTAAGTGGTCGTTCCCCTGCAAGTGAGGTCAACGAAACGACAGTTCATCAGCAGACCGTCGGCGGGGGCACGGCCACTGCTGCATGGGAAGAGGTGTTCGCCACAATTCATATGGAAACTGAGCAGATGCTTGCTGACGTGGATGATAACGAAAGCGGTGCACGAGGGAACAGTGCTCAGACAGAGAAGGTGGGTGGAGAGAGAGACGAGGAAGATGTTGGCAGCGAGGGTCATGACAGTGGATGCGTTGTCACAGATGCAAATGCGACAAAGACAATGGCAGGAGATAGATACCCGTACGGTGTGAATTGGGTGCCAGGTCGTGTTCAGCCAGGTATCGTTGGAGGTGTGCATTGCTTTGTTTTCAAGGTTGCTGATGAGTGGGTTGCTGTTCCTGCCCCAAAGAAAGGAACATGGCGTAACGTATGTCTGTCATTTATCTATGACAGAGTGTTGAGGTCGAATGATGGGGCAACGACCCACGATGCTTGCCAATACGTATTGGAGATGTATCGTGTTCTACAGGCAAAGGGTGAGTTGCGGCTCAACGATTTCGTATATGATAACTTTGACTGCGGACAGTTGTGGGTGTTGGGTGGCCAACAAGGCAGGGGGTCCGCCAGTCAACTAGGACGATGCAAGAAGGGATCCTCGATGGGATTGGGTGCCATCTGCAATCCCATTTGGATATGGCCGTGTTAAGATGCAAGTGCGTGATATCATGGGCAATGTGTGGAGCGCGCATTACATGTACGACATGTTTTCCTTCCGTCATTTCGACAGAGAAGCGACTGCTGACGAAAAGGAGGCGATGACATGCCGGCCACGCGATGCACGCATCTTTGACCCGCCACTTGGCAATCCTGTCGAGTTGGCCCTCGTTGAAGGGATGGTGTTTAGTGGTGAGAAGCGCATCATATACGTCCACGTAAGGGGGAAAGAAGCCACATTTGATGGCATTTGTATGGACATATGGGACCATGTGGCAATGTGGAAGGATGTGGTTGCAGCCAGTAACATTGCGGCCCATGTGATTCAAGAAGGGCAGTTGTACCAGCATGTGGCCCGTGACATGTACGGGTACCATGTCAATTGGGTACCTGGTTCTTTGTATCCAGCACTCGTTGATGACAAAGTGACACTGGGAGCAAGAATGCAATCTGGTGAGTGGCTGCCTTTGGGTTGGATGCATGCTGGCGTTGTGGAGCATTGGCAGTTCTTGGTGGTGGTGACACGTGTCTCCGTTTGCAATCCTCATGTGAAGGACCGGGGATTGCTGCAGGAACACGCGCAACGTTGCTGGGAGAAGATAAGGGAGGAAGAACGGCAGACGGTGTGCATGGGATATGACTCCCATAATGACCAGGCGATCAGGTCGATCGTGGAAGACTCGTGCACCGAGCAAGCACGACCTTCGACAGATGATATGTTTCTGGAGGGCATTCGTTGCAGACACGGGTGCACATCATTTCTTGGGTGGGTCCCTGTCGTCTATCCTATGACATATGAGCATGGTGAACAGATGTGCATGAGATTTAGAGACCCTTTGGGTGTCCCTTTCCAGGTCACGTACATAGATGGACTGTTGCGACACATTAAATATGTGGGTGATGACGACGCTCGTGCTGCATCGAATGCACAACAAACAACACAACAGCAGCAGGACATTTCACATTTGGCAACTCAGGTCGACGGCCCGGAAACAGCAAATGATGGGGGATGTTCTAATGCAAAACCCGGCGATGGTGACACCCCTGCGGAGCACGTGACAAGGAGGGCAGAGAAGAAGAAGAAGCAGTGCACGTCTAGGCCACCCCGTAGACTCAGGAGTTCCACAAAAGCAAAAGGCAAAGAAAAAGATGCCCCAGATCGAGACCAGACTTCCAAAGCAGCCGCTGCCCCAGTTCAAAAGCGCAGGCGCCGCCCAGGGATGGCAGCATTGGCAGAAATTCGGCAACTCCAACGATCTACTCAGTTGTGCATCACTTTGAGGCCGTTCATGAGGGTCGTGCGCGAGGTCGTCGAGAAAGAAATCGCACCAGGAAAATTTATCAGGTTTCAGATGAACGCTATACGTGCGTTGCTGGAAGCGGCCGAAGCATATCTCATCAACCATTTCGAGAGAACAAACATCATTGCTATCCACTGCAAGAGGGTGACGATCCAGCTGAAGGACCTGAAGCTGGTTGAGAACTTGGCCAAGGCTCGCTGGGTATACAAATATGAAGGCATTATCGACGAGCAGAAGAAAGCGGAAAAGCTACGGCAGATGAATGCTGCAAGGCAGGTCGAGAGAGAAGCGCAGGCGGGAAAGGGGGTGTCTGAGAAGACATCAGCAGCACGCAAAGGCGGTGACATTCCAGCGGGGTCGTCGAAGAAGAAAGGAGCGCCGCGTAACGGCAATGCAGCAAAGAAAAGCATGAAATAAGAACACAGTGAAGACTGCACTGAGATCAGTTCGCACACACACAAATATAATGTGTATGAGTATGTAGGTGTAGTGTTGACTGTATGCACTTGCATTGACTTGCTGTTTTCTGCAGCCTGCGCCGGCACACAGAGGCTGTACTGTAGTGTACTGTGTGCTGTGTGCTGTGTACTTTAGTGTGATGTGTGCTGTGTACTGTCGCCGGCGCAAGTGTGCTGCACGAGTATGGGGCCAACAACGGTCTGGCTATCCTGCTGTGTGCCGCATGAGCTGCGTACTGGCGATCCTGCATGAGCTGCTGTGTGCTATGTGTTGTGTGCTACATGAGCTGTTGTGTGCTGTGTGCTGCACGAGCTGCTGTGTGCTGTGTGTTGTGTGCTGTGTGCTGTGTGTTGTGTGCTGTGTATTGTGTGTGTGATGTGTGTGAGTTGCTGCGTGTTGTGTGCTGCATGAGATGCTATGTGCTGTGTGCTGTGTGATGTGTGCTGCATGAGCTGCTGTGTGGTGTGTGTTGTGTGATGTGCAACTGTGTGCTGCATGAGCTGCGTACGACGTGTGTTGTGTGCTGCATGAGTTGTTGTGTGGTGCATGAGTCAGTGTGGTGCATGAGCTGCGTACTGACGATCCTCCTGTGTGCTGCATGAGTCTGGGGCCAGCAGCAGTCTGGGCTATCAGAGGTCTGATATTGGAGAGCATGTGGTAAGCTGCAGACCCTCCTCAGGTATAGGGTCCAGCTGGCGAGATGCAGTCATAGGTGCTTGTTCTCAGGGACTTCATCATCCGAACTTCATCGACGTCAGAGACTGTTGGTGCTGTGCTTCTTCTTCATCCTCAGTGTGAGCCTGTTTCATGGTGGCGCTGGCCTCTGAGTTGCTTGTCAGGGCGGCGC